TAAGATATTTATTTCCTATTATGATTATTGTTATTATTACTATTACTGATCACCTACTGATGGTTACAGTCTGTCCTTGGGGAAATGGCCCTTCTGACAATGTTGCGTTGTCTCACCGTAAATCTGTCAGCAGGACAGTGCAGGGGCTGTGGGCAGAGTTGGTGGCTTCATTGGGCCACTCGCACTCATTCAATCAGTCATAAGAAAACCTCCCAGCAGATAAATTCTACACACTCTGGAATCAGCCTTATCTCTGTAGGAGCTCCAGTCTAGAGAGACTCTTCCAGTCGCTGGCTGAAGAGCACAGCTATTTTTTCCCACCCTGGATGCCAGGTTATTAGCGTCTAAGCCTGGATAGTAGGACCATTTCTAGCTTGCTCACTCAGTATCTAGTGGAGTGTGGCACCCAGTTGGTACTTAACAAATATTGTTGACTGAGTGAAACATTAGGGTGTGTCTAGGAGGGAAATTAAATTAGAGGTGTAATGTGGATTCTGGAGTCAGCCTGCCTGAATGTGAATACCAATTTCCCCACTGACTAGCTGGGTGCCCTTAGACAAGTAACTCAACCTCTCTGAGCCTAAATTTTCTGATCTGTAAAATGAAGAAAAAATACTGCCTGGCATGGCAGGTGCTCAATAAATGTCAGCTATTATTAAAGGGAATAAATAATAAATGGGGATATTAAGTGGCCCATCAGTCATGCCTAAGACATTTTTTCAAGCACAAACCATGGTTGAGATCAACCTTGTCTCTGGCGTTTATCTTTCAGTTCATGATCCTGTTCCCTGCCACCAGGCCATAGACAGGGATTCTGGACGCTGAGAGAGAAAGAAAGCCTGTGACTTTGGAATGGCAGAAGAGCAGAAGAGGAGAGGCCAGGACCAGCCTGACAGAGCCGACCCCACGGTAGGGGTAGAGTCCCCTCACAGATGATTATCTCCACAACCTGGAACGTTGTCCCCCGGCCCCCAGCTGCCTGACTCTTTCCACTCTGATGCGCCTGCTAAAAGCAAGAAGTGCTGTACACCGGTCTGGGCTCCCTCTCTCAGCCCGTGACCCCCTCTTCCCACCGTGGGGAGACACGTGGGTCAGACCTTCCCCCGAGAGAGGACCCACGTGCTGGGTTTACCCGAGGTGAAACAGACTTTTTCTATCACAAAATCTAAATGTCTGTTTTCCCATTTGAAATCTAATACTCCGAAGGCCATTTAACTTCCTTTGGCAGCAGCTGCAACAATGGTTTTGAAATAATGTTTTAATGAGAATAAGCATTAATTCAGAAAATTAGACACCTAGTTATGCTAGAGCTTAAAAGCTATCATCTGCCAGCTTTTCCCATTCACACCACTGTCAGTGGATGAGCCACAC